TAAAGGAGAAAATCAAATTAAGGTATGTCTTATGAACAAAGTTTCAACCAAATCAACTTACAAATCTTCTATTAGATAGCTCTCAGGTTGTAGAAAATTTACCAATCAAATTTGGTTAACAAATCCTTGGAACTTTGAGAGTGTGCCATCAATTTTTTTAGAAAACTAATTTGAGGCTCCTTATGTTGTTGAATAGGTGATTTTTTTTATTAAGGTACACGTGCCACCACCTCCTTAGATGTAGAAGCTTAAGACTTGCTCTAGGTCTTGTATTACTATAAAATCTTTCACAAAATTCTTCAATTTTAATAGTTCTATAAGCTAAAGTATTTAGTGTATTTATAATAATATTTATCTTAGAATTAAGAGATTCAACCATATTAACATCTTTACTTCCAACCATCTTTAAAAAAAAAAAAAAAAAAAAAAAAAAATGAAGTTTCTAAAATAATATTAATTTAGAAGAGAATACTACGCAACCTCTAAAGTGATTAGATGTCTTCAAGAAGAGGGATAATCCACTTTCTATCAAGAAAGATCAAACTCTAGTATTAATAAGATGCCAGTCTCGATAATTTGTCATAGATACATTATACAAGAGACCAAACAAGAAGTTGAATAGAAGAATTGCAATAGGAAGCTAACAAGAACTTGAATAAACTAGATGAGTAGAAGATCAACATCAAGAGAAATGAACTAAAACTCCAAGAGATGTGTTTTTTGAGATTAACGATCCTCTCAACCTTAATTCTAATATATACTAGGTATTAGGAAGCTTCTTGAGAAGTTTCTATGTTGCTTGAAAATAAAGCAATCTTTGGAAGCTCTTCAAGAAGTTTCCATATTGCTTGAAGATGAAACAACCTTTGGAAGGTCCTGAAGAAGTTTCTATGTTGCTTGAAGATAAATCAATGCTAGAAATCTTCTCTAATAACTTCCTTGAATCTCTTAGAATTTTTTAAAATTTACTAAAATATTCCAAGAACCTTTTAAAATATTCTAAAAATCTTTTTAGAATTTTTTAAAACCTTCTAAAATCTAATAGAATATTTTTAGAATATTTTTAAAATCTTCTTGTTGGATGTTTGTAATAGCAAAAAGATATTTACTTAAAATTCTTATAATCATAAAGAATGTATGATGTGTTTTAAAATATGAATCTTAATAATTGTAACCTTCTTAAAATCTCAAGTCAATTAATTTCTATGAATTAATTAATTATTCAACTCATTAATATTCCTACATGACTTTATTTAGATAACTTTGAAGGTCATTTACATGTTCTTTATTCATCTTTAAGATAGTTGAGTGTGTATCAAGTTCATAGATATGGAATTTACTAATATATTTTAATCTACTTCCAATATTATCTCTAAATGGCCTTATATAGATAACTTTCAAAGCCATTTATATGGCTTTTATTCATTTGTAAAATAAATAATTGTGTCTCAAATTCTTACATATGAACTCTACTAATAATCTTTAAGCAACTAACAACCTTATCAAATATCAAATAACCTTAAAGAAAATCATATCTAATTCTAAATAATCCTTATTAAAACCCTGAAATAAATCTATAAACTCTTATTCAAATTATATCCAATTCTAATAGAATCCTAATAGAATTTTAACAAAATTCAAACCAATTTAACAAAAATTCTATCTAAATCTTAATTGAACGATAAAAAATATCTATCTAAATTCTAACCAAATCCTAAATAAAGCCTAATTAAATTCTCTTTAATTCTAAGTAAATCCAAAAGTAAATTAAAATCATTGAAATATTTCCAATTCTAGATACCTTGATCGACTTGAACTTCAATAATTCTTAATACACATATTTAATTGTGTTCAAATTCACAAAATACATTGAATACAACTATTTTCACAAGTTCACATAATTTTACTTAGAGATCTATAATAAAATTTATAAAGTTCTTTAAAATTAAAATTCTAATTTATTTCTCAAAAATTAGAGTCACTTGAATCCAATCTCAACTTTGCATAGCTTTCTAAGTCATTACAAATTCAAAACTCCTCAAAGAAACACTCGTAGAAACCTTCTCTAGTTTATTCTTTAATTTTTCTTTTTGATAATAAAAAAAACTTTCTATTAACTAAAAGTATATAGTTTCAACCATAATTTAGACCTTGTTCTCCTTGAGTAATAATCTAATGATTTTTTAGATAATTTTTGCTAAAAACTACCTATTATTTTTTATCTTAAGATACTTATCATTTTATTATTGCTTATCTATGTTGTTTTGTCTTATTTATGATCCTACAAAATAAGTAGAATCCCTTTTAACAAAAAAAAGAAAAAGAAAAGACATAGACTAAAATTTCTACTACCTCTATGTCTTTACATATGATTTTTGAAGTAAATTTGTACTAAATCTTCAATTTAGATTTCTTATAATATAGGTCTTCTTTGCTCTTTCATCTAATAATTGTATTACAAGACAACAAGAATTTTTTATCCTTCTAAATTGATTTATTTGATTATTATCATTATTATTTTTGTTTTATTATATTTTATTACCAATATATAATAATTTATTAAGCAAATAATTAACAATTTCTAGTACCATTAAAAAAAAAAAAAAAAAAAAAAAAAGGAAAAAAAAATGTTTATGAAATATTTTTTTTTAAATAAAAACTTATGTTAATATCAAATATTATCAATTTTGTTAATATATCTTTATAACCACGGATTTATATGAGTTTTTAATCTACAAATAAAAATATTAATTAAATTAATATTTGAATTATTTGTTTTAAATCTGTAATTAAATCTGTAATTATTAATTTAAATAATTTAAAAAATAATTAATTAAATCTGTAATTAATTAAAATAGAACTAAGATATGCTAGTTAGAAGTTATAGAATTTTAAAGTCTTTTTATTTCTATTTTTATTTTTATCTTTTATTTTATTTATTTAATCCAATACTTTATAATACATCTATTCAAAATCTAGATCTTAAAAATAAATTATTCTTTCTTTTTCCTTTCTCTGGTTAAGATTATCAATAATCTAAAAATGCCAAATTTTATTTTATTTTATTTTATTTCATTTTATTTTTTAAATTTTTAAATTTTAATATATTATATATTATATAAATATAAAAACATAAGGCATTCTTTAAAAGATCACCTAACTTATCTTAAATGGCTACTATAATGAATACCTTGATCTCAACTCTAAATTATTTAGATAATGTAACTAAAGTCATGTACCATTTATGTTATCACAATAAGCTAATTAGATTTGTCTTTTTTAAAATTGAGATCCTGAGCTTATTTTCTCTCCATTTTTCTTATTTGTTTTGATTTCTAATTAGTTGAAATCTTTGAATTCACAATTTTTTTTAATTAGAATTAAAATTGTAATTCTAAAATAAAGAAAACACATTATTTATTATTCAACTTCTAACCATCTAAGCTATTCAAGCCTTAGTTGTCAGTCTTGGCATATAATTTACTAATTTGGGTCAAATTACATTCTATAGAGGAGATGTGCCAAATTATCTCTATTAAATGGAGATGATACTATAATTTTGGTTAATTTTGGTTGGTTTCTAATGCAACTAACATTTGCTTTTGTGAAGTTGATGTCATAATGTTTCTTTTTCTTTTTCTTTTTCAGAGTACAACTTACATATTAAAAACTCAAATAAATCCATAAAATATTTATCTTAGATAGTTTAATATATATTTATATATACCAAGGATTATTTTCTACAAGACTAGAGAAGTGGTTTTTTTGTTAAACTCCAAATTGGACAAATATAAAATTTATAGTTGTGTATGTTCTGCTTAAATATTAATAAATGCTTTATTTTTTTTTTTTATTTTTTTATTTTTTTTTATTGCAATACATTCTAAAGAAAATATAACTAGAGATTTAGAACACTTATTATTTTGTGGCTCTTTAATTGGAACCACTTTTGAGACACTTCTTTTTTGTACCTCAATATATGAATTTTTTTGATAAAAAAGTGATTATTTATAAAGTTGTAATAAATAAAATATTTCATAAAAAATATCTTTTTTATATCATTAAATAAATAAGATAATATTTTCAAAGGATTAAAATTAAAAAATTAAAATTAAAATATGTAATTCACCACTTAGTTATTAATATTTGTTGATTTGGTATTAATGCACAACTTTTTAATCAATAAACATCAATTCCTTTCAAAATAATCTGAAGAATTTCACTTCAATTGTAAATAATCATTCATATATTTTTTCAATAAAAGAAATACTAATGTAAAAAATAGTAGTTTTTGGATTTTTAATACATGAAGAACATCTCACTTTGCATAAAATTTGAATGTGCACTTAAAATGTATTTTTTATAGATAATGTTTTGGATTTTCATAGAAGATAATAGTGTGCAGGAGTGAATATATGTCAATATGTACATGTATATACATGTATGTACATGCATGCAAGTGTGTAGATACGTATATAAATATAATACAATGGAACAATTGGTCCTAATCTTTCATACAAAGAAAACACAGATAAATATGTTTATTTAAAACACAAGTATCACAAGAGCTGTAAAAAGTTACAAGATTTATATTTGTTACCAAATCTATTTTATGAGTTTTCTTGAAAAACCTGCAATAATTAGCGGAAGATATATGGTTACGAAAAAATCACATTTTATGTGTATTCATGTACATTTATATTCTCTCACTTGCATATATGAACACTTATATATGTATTTCTAATATTTAGTAATTTGATATTGTGGAAGATTATTTCATGAAAGTGTTAATGGCAATTCAGTTAATGCAATAATGGATACATTAGTAAGTATAATATATAGTATTTGTTAACCAATACATGGCGAATTTCAATACATGGTATTGAGTTGCCATCAGTTGGGTATTGCAAGATTTTCAAAATGCATTGTGTTTCTATTCTATAATATTCAAAACAGTGGTATATTAAATGTGAAAGTAAGGAACATGTCAACACAATAAGTTAAGGTAACCCACCCATCATACAAGAGGTCTTGCAGTCTTTGGAATTTAACACATGATAGCACATGTATTAACAGAGGCACTTACATGAGATTGACCTAAAATACTTGTAAAAAAAAACTTTGGGTTCAACTCTGAGTTATGCATAAATTTGCAAACACCCAATAATGTGAGGACTAACCTTGAAACAAATTATGAGTTAAATCTGCCGGCTTCCAGATATTAATACAGCCCCTTCTTAAGAGACAACGAATAGCGAACGGATTCATAAACAAGGACCGTCTCATTCGTCGTCCTCGTCATCGTCTTCCTCTGGGGCCTCCTTTAGCCACTGCAACCCAACCATCCATTAAGAAATCACAAAAACAAGTAATCAGTAAGCAACTCCTCAACCAATGCTGGAAACAGCCATGCTATCATCGTCAACAGCCTTTGATATACATCCACTGCCGATGGCAACCAAGGAAAAATCGCGAAACATAAATAGATAAATCAAAGTAGTAAAGTGGACGCATAGCTCATCATATCTAAAATCAACAAATACAAGCCCTGACCACTCACGCTTAGAGACAGAGGTCAAAAGGAAACGATTAGTGACCTGAATGAAAGGTTCTGACTGCTTCAGAAACACCCTATCGTTGTCATCAGCATCTTGCTTTTCTTCAGCCCAAGCCAAGATCGCATCCTCAGAGACAATATCTTTGTCGTAAAGTACTTGTAAAATCTGCGGCAATCAAACACTTCTTCAGATGATGGAACTCTCCAGGACTACTTCATCAACACATAAAATTCGAAATTAATGATCTACGCCAAACAAGGAGTGGATAGTGAAAAAGATCACCTGAGAGAAGAGTGGAGCAAACTCCTTGTGACACTCTGAGCAGACTTCTTCGAAAGTGAGAAGAATCTCGTGCTGTAATGCAATAATAATAAAAATAAGATCAATTTTACATTCACCATATACGTAAGAAACCATTGAATGTCAACTAGCTCAATAAAAAAATTACCCCCAAAAACAGCTATAGTTAATATCTTAAGCCAGCAGGATTTATGAGCATGACTTTATACAAAAGTTGCTACGCAGAAGCAATGAAACAAAATTACACTTACTGGCTCCCAGGAATATTTTCGCAAAGATACAAAAGGGCTAGGGTTTAGGAAAGCCAGAACATTGCGCTTGTACAACATAGATGCAGTAAATTATATACAAATAATCTTATTGTTCAGATCGGACAACTGACTCAGACGAAGTCAACAAAAAAATTGAAGGCAAGTACCTCATCATCAGAGCCTTTCAAAAACTTTTGAAGCAAAGAACCCCACTTTGAGATTATTTCCTTGGTGCTCATCAACAACTCCTCTGTAATAATGAGTCATGTTAGCTCGAAATCCTAACAAAACTGGGAAATAAACGACACTGACAGAAGGGAATGCTGACTACTGAAGCACATATTTCGAAACCTCATTTTTCATCTTAGTATCAACCTTATATATATACTACAGAAATGTGATACAGTTAAAATTCAAGCAAGTATAGATATATAACATACTTGCAGAAGCATGAGAACCTCCCCACGCAAGATTCGCCAAGGCCTTGAACATTGCCCCAGCACAGTCTGCAAAAGTTTTGTTGTATGCCAACCTGATCCAAACCCAAACAGAGAAAGGATTCGATAAACTCAACACTACGACCTGAAGCAGATACTGCTATTTTACAAGCTAGACACAGCTTCAGTATCAAGCTTAAACTTCAATATAAACAAAGCCTCGTAAAATGCTGTGGTTGCTCATTAATACGTATCTCAAGCTAAAAATTATAGACTTTTACCAAGGAAACGCAAAATTATGCTAGAGTTGCGGTTCACATTGCAAACAAAAGAATAAAACCTTCATTAGTAACTGGGGGACAAATTTGTTTAAAAACTGAAAAATTAAGATTCACATTCAAAGCGTCATAATTTTCAGGTTTGGAGACATATTCTGTGAAGATGCTTTCAACGCCGGGATGTGTTGGTCGAAGCAGTTTCATTAGCAAGGATAACGAGAAATGATGTTGAAGAAACATTTTTGTTTGATTTTTTATATTTGTGGCCAAATTATGAAGAGAAAAATTATTGAAGTAATAAAAGAAATCAATGAAGCAAATAGATAAGTGGAGGAGTTTTACTCACTTTAAGCTGTTAACCTCAATTACTACATGCTCAGGCTGGACTCCAGCTGTACCTTCAGCTAACCTCAAAAATGTACCCTCAACCTGAACAAAAAGCAAAACACTGTTCAGGCAGGCTCCATAGTCTGCACATGGAAATACATTAAAAAATGACCATTTGATGCTGCTTGACTACCAAGAGCTGAGGAATCATGAATCCAAAACATTCAGAGACCACAACGCCTTACCTCCTTTTCAAAATCGTCTTCGTCGTCCTCAGTCTCCTCGTCTCCCTCTACTCCTGCAGAATTACGATGGAAAAGGAAAGCTAGAGAGCAGTACTCCAAGAAACAAAATAATTATATGCAGCAATATAAAAGGAAGCAAGAGGACAGAAAATAATCTGTGGCGTGGACACAGTAATGACCAGCATGAAGTCCTTAAACGTTGATCAGCTGACTGCGCTTACCTGTGCCGGCTATGCTATCCCTAGCTGCTGCCCCGAAATCGTTATCAGCCTCCTCAATCTCTCCTTCCTCTTCTGCTGAGACTAGTTCTCGTATCTTATCTGCGGGTATAGGAGCCACTGAGTGCCTCCAATCCTCTTCCTGACTCCCATCTCTGTTAGACCACCTGTAACCAGCCCCTGTTTCACCGACTTCATCAGGATCCCAATCACCAGACTCGTCAACATCCTCTACTTCTCCAGCAGCACTTCCATTACGACTGTCTGCATCGTCAAGAAAAGGACGAGGGCTATCTGCTCGACCACTAGCGGCATCCGCATATTCCAACTCTTCATCACTGGTATCTTCTTCAGTAGGTTGCCGCATCATTGAGATCTTTGAGTAAGCAGGAACGACAAACTTCGGACCAATCACCACCTAGCATAGCAAGCAAAGGTTGTACTTGTCAACAGTAAGATCGAGCATTGATACCAGAATTGACCATTTAACAAATCGACGGAAATACAAGCAAATTGAGGAAATTACACCACTACAAAACCAGATTATTTCAACAATCGTTAGACCAAACAAGTGGAACAGAACTAGGAAATAACGGAAGATATAAGAAACAAGAAACGAAGAAAACAAGCGCATAGTGATGAACTGTCTTCGAATGCTGGGAGTAAATAGATGAGAAGAAACGATAAGAAATGAAGGAACTAACTTTGAAAGACAACACAACCCCAGGCTTCAAAACTGCTCCAGCTTTCACAATTGCACCATCGCAAACAACTGAATATTGCAATTGAGCATCATCTTCAATTGTGACATTGTCCCAGATGTGACAACCTTCAATAGAAACATTCTTCCCAATCCGGCAACCACGACCAATAACTGAACGCTTGATAATAGTTCCTTCACCAATTTCTGTCCCCGAACCTAGCACGGAGTTCTCTCCGATTGTTGATGTTCGCGATAAGGTGAGACCTGTGAAGCCCCAGTGGACACGGCAACAATGAAACTTCAGAGAGTGGTCTGAGACAACTCTGGAATAGTCCAATCTAAACTGCATATCAGTGCGGTTAGTGAAGCTTATACAGCAGAAAATCCCAGTAAGCGTAGGTTGTGAGACGTACACCATACCGCACAATGTCACATATACTTCAAAACATAGCTTTTAGATACTGCTAAATTTTCGAATCTCCTAAGTGCACAGAATGACTTCAATCTTCCTATTTCCAACGAGCAACCCTCCACGAAAGAGTAAACAAACCAGTTCCCTTGTACACGTTGCAGCGTTCCAATCTCATGCCGGAAGTATTGCCCCCGAAAGGAATATCAGGAACCATTGGGTAGGTCCACCGATGTACAACATCTTGACTGACAACATCATAAGCTCTTAGGTTCTCGACCCGTGCAGCATATTCCCTTCCGATTTCATAAGTGAATATTTTATTGCCCATGATCTGTCCCCACCATGACCAAAACCTGGTGAGCTTCATTGGAATAATCACTCAAAACTGGAACCATTATCTTGCAGACAATAACCTGGCCTTAGCAAATCCACCAAAGAGAAACTGACAGGTGGAGAATATAAGAATTTTGCTGTTAATGTACCTCATCACTAAGGAGTCCTTTTACAAAGTCGCGACGAATTTGCTGGTAGTCAAAATTGTCCGTGAAGAGATCAAGAACCTCAGGTGAGCAGATATCAATATGACAATCCTGGTCCGATCACCGGATCTCCATGTTAGAGAAATCCGCCCAGACGGCTTGGAAAGTTACACTTAAAGAATACAGTGTCGACAAGAACGATGAGAGAAAGGGCCACCAGCTTCAAGCCGTAGCTCGTCACAAAACAGATGGAAACAGGTTGAATGGAATGAAAAATTCATTCAATTCATCAATAAATCAAGAGATAAACATACCTGCAAATTGGTGCATAGCTGCACAGAGGGTCGATCATTAAGTGCAGACCGTTCTAGTAGCACATTGCGCTGACTGGGTAGGTGCTGAAAGTTATCGCGACCTCCATACTCCCGACCAGGGTCATAGTGTAACAATTGCTTGCTGTGTGGATCTATGGCAAGTAGCAGTTCATCATTTCCTAAGCGGGCGTGAAATGTTGAAGGGGAAGGCTTTGCTCTTTTGACCACCATGGTCATCACGGCCAATTTGTCATTCTTCCTCCTCTCTTGATGTTCCTTGATCACTTCTTTCAAGGACATGTTGCTAACCGTATCGCCACTTACTAACACAAAGTCCCCACGAACCTGCCAAGAGCGCGCATGCTTTAGGGGAAAAAAAATATAAGATAACAATTGTGCTCAAATATATCATCTCGTTTGCACCCACTAATCACAGTACTACTAAAATTGGCTGCACATCAAATTAGGTCATCGAATCAAAATTCACAATGCGCTAGCTAATGATTGATACTTACCACGCCTCTTTGTTCAATCAACCGCAATGCATCCCCAGCACTGACACAATCATGAGATTCGATTGGCGTAACAGAGAAATTGGGTTGCGACCTCCATTTCGACTTGGCCAAGTGGTTCGTCACCTGATTTGCGTGAGCACAACAAAACACGAAACACTCTTCCACTCCCTGATATGCTAACCACTCTAGGGTGTAGTCTATCAGGGGGACACTCACCAATGGCAGAAGAACCTGCAATCAAACCCAACTAATTAAAATGCAACCCCTGTAACCAAAACAAATTCCTCGTTTTCCCTCTTGGCCATAACTTACCAGCCACCCACCAATTCAATGACGACAGAAGATGTTCTCCTCACCTTAGGCTTCTCAAGCGTGATCGGGCGAAACTTCTGCGTAAAGCTGTCAGCCAGCACCACGGCTTGTAGAGGCACACGAACCTCGTCATCTGCGATCTCTGTTACTGCTTTCACACCTTTCTTCGCCATGGCTACCCACCAAATCCTGCTCTCAATTACACTCACAACAAAACACCCATTAAAATCCCTCCCCAAACTCTCACTTCAAACCCACGTCCCCTAAATCCGACCCAACAACCCTAATTAATCAACAGACCCAAATCCTCCAAAACAGAAGCCGGGAGGACGAGAACCTCGCGAGAATCCTTCCTACTCAAGAATGTGGTCTAAAAGTTGCAGCATCGAGCAAGTATCCTGGTCAGAAGCAATGCGTGCGACGCCACAATCTAAGCAAACGCTGGAACAGCGAGAAGTGATGAGAGCATGAATTGTAAAAAAGTTTTGTAAATAAGATGGCAGAAAGAAAAATAGAAGAAACAGGGGAGGGGGGGGGGGGGATGAGGGGGGCAGGGTCTCACCAATGTCTGGAGGCTTGCGATCATGCAAGCGAGAGGCAGAGACAGAGGCAGAGACAAAGATTTCCAAAAAAGAGGGCGTAGCGATGGCAAAAACCCAGCTCCCCCACCCCCAGCCCCCCCAGTCCCCTTTCCTGCTGCTGCTGCCCCCAATAGAACCCTTCTCCTTTCCTTGCCCCTTCCCTTCCCCCTTCCTTTCTCTTCCCTTGATTGCCCTTCCTCCGCTCTGCTCTGCCCTGCCCTCGCTTCCCCCCGTTCCCCTCTCCGGCTCTCTTCGTCCCCCCCCCCCCTCCTGTCTGTTCTTAAACCCTTCGTCCACCCCTTCATCCATCCATCCTTCATGCCTTCATATTTCATTCATTGTTTCATCCATATATCCCTCTCTGTTCATCCGTTGTGGACGTCCCTCATCCCTTTGCAATGCCTGTCGCATTGCAGCTTGGTCTGTGTACAAAGTCACTAATGAATTTGTTTTTGTATGATCTCGTGAAACCGGAACTTTCGTTACCCAGTATCATTGAAACTCGCTTTTTGACTTGTTAAAAAATTTCACCAGAGATGTGCGTTTTCTTTAAAGATTTGATTCATGTTTTGTATATTTTCATGAAAAGATGGCAATGTTGTCAACTGATGCATTTATATTTGGTTTCTAACTATTTAAAAATATATTCAAATCACCTTTTTATTGATTAATAATTTTTTAAGTGTATAATTTTTATTTTATTGATTCACATTTTATAATTGTAAAATATTTATGTCTACTATTTTCATTAATACATTTTATAAAACTTGTAACAAGATCAGCTTTTATGCATTTGATGGTAAACTTATACTTAATAGAATGTTAATAAAAAACAATGACATATGTAATTAGATTTACATAGATAATTATATGGTTACTTTAGAAGGTAGTCTAATAATGTAATATCTTCTTTGATATGATATTATTAGATGTATAATATTCATCTAGTAATATATTCTATGAAGTATGTACTTTTTTTTATTGATTGCTATAAGTGTTTTTTTTATTGCTCTAAATCCTCTAATAATATTTAATTATCATTTAATCAGATAAATTAAAAAATAAAGACTTTATCTTTTAAGGTTATATCTATATAAATATATGTACTTGGCCTTCTATCATACTAAATAGAAAAATGATTAATATTTGTTATGATATTTGTAATGTTTTAATTTCTAAAATACAAGAACAAATAAAAAATTTCTTCTAGATGTTTTAAAACTCTATCTAGTACTAGTTTTTAATAATAATTAAACTTTTCTATTTTTTTTCTTATATTTAATAAAAAAATAATAATAATATTTTTTTAATTCTATTTAAAATTCATAAATTTAATTATTATATTAATTGTGCTATAAAATTTGTACTAAAATTATTTATAAAAATCTTATATATACAACATATTTTTAAGTTTGTTTGTTAATTAGACTATATGAATATTTTATTTTTTTCTTATTAAATTAGCTAATTTAATAGGATGTGAGTACTAAGTACGTGTCAAAGAACTTTAATGAAAGCAAAATACCACATATTTAAGTCATGTGAGAAAATCTTTATATTTTGAGATTAATTTTAAAATAATATGGATCTAAAATAAAATAATATTAGAATAATGAGAGATAAATTTAGATATAAATAAAAAATAAAAAATATAATAAAATTAAGTAATAAAAAGAAATTAATATATGACAATTCAATTACAAAATTGGAAGGTTTAGAAGATCACAACTACAAATTTAAATATTTTAATTTAAAGAGGGACAATCTTTTATAAATTTAAAAAAAAACAATTGATGTATGTACAAAACTTACAAAGATTAAGATAGATATTTGATTTGGCATTAGACCAACTTATACATTAAGCATTTTTTAGCAATATAGAAGTCTAAATATATAATCACTTCTATGAATATCTACCAAAATAGATCTCAACAGCATCAAAAACATATATAAACAAAAATGCCACTTGATTCATATTCTTAATCAAATCATTTGGTGTCACAGACATATATTTACTGTAATTGTTACCTAGGTGATATGAATAGGTAGAAGTAGATAAAAGTAGATTAATTTCATAATATCTTCTAGAAAAGCTTCCTAGAAGCTTCATAAACATTGCTTTGACTTTACATGTGTTTATACTTGATTGATAGGTTAGAAACTTGGTCAACAAGTTAATCACGTGCCACACATCTTGGTAGCTTGCGGAACAAGCTAACTATGTGGCACCTATATAGAAAACTTGGCTTATAAGTTAAGATACGTATTGTTCAAAGTCAACACGTTTTTGAAGATCCTATAGAACGTCGCCACATAGCTCTTAGATAGATAGTATATATAAAGGCAAGAATGAAGTCTTCTTTACTCTTCTCAACTCCTTTCTTGCTTCTAGTCTAGTTTCAACGGTCTCTAGTTTTCTTGTCTTTTGGCAATAGCCATTCTAGTTTCTTTCTTAATATACATATTTAGTTATTTCTATTTTGTCATCTTTTTTTGAAAAAAATATCACTTGTTTATTTATTTTTATCAAGTTTTTGTCTTTGATAGATTGATAAGAGTACACTTACAATATTAGAGGTTTATCTAATCTTGATTAAGAGTGGATTACTCCTTTCTCTTGATAAGACATAAGAATATTAGAAGTTGTGGATTACCCTCTTCTAAATTGATATTGTTTTTAGTATTTTCTTTGTTCTCAAGTCTTCTCTTCTATTTGTCTTGAGCAATATTAGACATATTCTCTTTTTTAAGTATTATCATAGTAGAACTTGCTGAAATGAAGAGTGCAATGGTACAAATACAAGAACAATTTAGGGAATTAATACTTCCAATGCATCAACTCAATTTACCACTAGAAGGAGCAACAAGATTGACAGGAAGTGAAGATATAGAAATGATTGGAGCTACTTAAACATCTGCACCAAATCATGTCCCTTCTTCTATAGTGAAATATCCTTCCAATGTTAGAGAACCAAAAATTGTCCTATCCGAGAAGTTTGATGGCACCAGATTAAAGTTTAAAGGATTTATCAATCAAGTACAACTTGTGATTGAACTTCAACTCCAAAGTTATCCAACTTCGAGATCGCAAGTTAGATTCATTGATATGCTTCTTTCACGTTCAACATTATCATGGTTTTCATTATTTCTCAAATGACAAGATCCAATATTGGATAATCTAGAGGCTTTTTTGGTGGAGTTTTGATCTATGTATGGAAAACATGATGCAATTTGTGTTGCAAACCAATAAAATCTATATTTTACAATAAGGTAATTGATCAATAACGTTGTATACTTTACACTTTTGACAACTTACAATTGATATCAAGTGGGATGATGTTGCACTTGTTAGCCAATTTCTCTACAGATTACAATATGAGGTAAAAAAAATTAATGCTCAACTTATCTGATTTTCAAATATTGAGTCAAGCAATTGACTTTGTTGTGAAGTGTAATAATCGTCTTTTTGAATTTTGATCTAAGAACCATATAAGTGGACCTCAACATTATTATAATTCAATAGCAATACCAACATCTCTTCAATACATACATTTAAAAGTAGATGATATGTAAATTGATGTGGTACGTTTCAAACCTCTTACTGAGTAAAAAAAAATTCATCGTCGTCAAGAAGGTTTATGCTTATATTGTGGAGAACCTAAGCACATTACTCAATATTTTTCAAAGAAGCAATGCAACCACAAAATAAAGAGTACGGCTATTAAAGGAGATAGTATGTCAAAAAACGAATTTATTTAGCTATAGTAGGAACTGTGTGGCTAGAACCTTGTACAACACCTAGTGAAGGTCAGATTCTCTCTTTAGAACCTTCTCCTTGTTTTAGAATAAATATTATTTTAGGACCTAAACATCACAAAGCCTCTGTCTTATTAGATTTAGGAGCCTTAGCATGTTTCTTAGATGAAGAATTTGCTGAAAGATATAGTATAATTTTAGTAAAGAAAACTAGACTTGTTCATGTAGAAGTCATAGATGGTCATCTATTATCTTTAGGAGATGTTATTCATGAAACCCTTCTTATAGAAATAGTAACTAATAGTTATAATAGATTTGTAATATTTAATATCAATAGATCTCCTTCTAATCCAATCATTTTAGGTTTATCATGGCTAAAAAAATATAACCCTAAAATAAATTGGACTTCTTGTAGTCTTAACTTTTTTGAAAGTATAACTAAGAGCATAGTTAATCAAGTAGAAAGTCATAAGTTAAGTACAATTAAACCTATATTTATAAGTACAAGAGCTTTCTTGCATGTTGCAAAAAAAGAATCATCTTGTGTCATTTATGTCAGACTTGTTTCTATAAGTGGAAAGACTTCAAGTGGCATTCCAAGTCAATATTAAGATTTTTAAGATGTATTTGAGAAAAAGAATGTGGATATTCTTTCAAAACATCATTCCTATGACTGCTCAATTGACCTTTAAGATAGATCACAACCACTATTTGGACCAATCCATAGTTTATCACAAAATGAGTTGGCTGAATTCAAGGAATATATTGAAAAGAATCTAGCCAAGAACTTCATATGCCATTTCAAATCTCTAGCAAGAGCTCCAATTTTATTTGTGAACAAAAAAAATAGGTCATGTGGATGTGTATTGATTATTGAGGACTCAACAAAATCACCATCAAGAACAAGTACCCGCTACCTTTGATATCTGGTTTCCTTGCTCAGTTGAATCAAGCTAAGATCTATACAAAAATAGATCTACGAAGAGCATACAATCTAGTATACATCAAAGAAGAAGATCAATAGAAGTTTGCATTTCGAATAAGATATGGAAATTTTGAATACAACGTCATGCCTTTTGGACTTACAAATGCACCAACAACATTCCAACATTTAATGAATGATGTCTTTTGGGAGTTTTTAGATGATTTTTTTGTCTGTTATCTAGACAACATCTTAATCTATTTTAAGAATACATAGGAATATGAACTTCATATTCATAATGTATTACAAAAACTAAGAGATGTGAGACTCTATGCCAAGATAGAAAAGTATGTATTTCACACTACTCAAGTCGACTTCTTATGATACATCATTTTAAATAATGGACTTATGATAGATCGTAAGAAAGTTCAAGCTATTATGGATTGGA